TAGGCATGAACCATGGCGCCTGGCCAAGGAAACATTTCCTATTCATTTTCACCCTCCTCTTTCTTTATTCCTATGTACACTTTATTTGCTGAGTTCTGCTTAAGCTGTGGGTTCTGCTTTTATTAAGACCCTGTAGCTTTTGATAATGGTAGAAGACAAGGCATTCAGAGATAGCGCTGAGCCCAGGGCTGGGCTGGACACTGAAACAGGAGGCTGAGGCAGCTACTTCAGGCAGAAACCCTGAAATCCTAGGTACTCTGAGTCCCTGCTGGATATTAACTAGCTTGTAAGACCTCCCTTGCCTTGCCTTTGCCCAGGTACATGTATTGGACTGACTGGGGTGCGAGCCCCAAGATTGAACGAGCTGGCATGGATGCCTCAGGCCGCCAAGTCATTATCTCTTCTAATCTGACCTGGCCTAACGGGCTAGCTATTGATTACGGTTCCCAGCGGCTATACTGGGCTGACGCCGGCATGAAGACAATTGAATTTGCTGGACTGGATGGCAGTAAGAGGAAGGTAAGGGTGGCACTAAAACATCTTTCCCCGGCCTTGACAGTCTCCAGGATGGCACTTTTCGGCTGGCACTGGTACTGATCAGAGCTAAGGGGACCAGCATGGGGCATGTGCTGTTTCTCTGAGGCTGTGGGTGCTGTCCAGAGCTTGGGGGCAGGGGTGAGAAAGGGCTGCTGGTTGATGATGAAAAGACTTGTGTGGATTATGAGCTGGGGGTGTAAATGCACAAACTTTCCTGTGAACCAGCACAACTATTGCTTGTTAATTACCAGTTGCACTGTGGGCCCATGATTGATCTCTTTTTGTTTTTATTTTGGTATAATTTCAAACTTACAGAAAAGTTGCAAGAACAGGTAAAAAGAATACATAAATAAAATTTTGCCACATTTGCTTTATCATTCTGTTTTGGTACACAAATATTATTTTTTGGAGCTGTCTGAGATTAGAGTGCACACCGCCTGCCCTTGACTCCAAACTATTCCTGTGCACATTTCCTAAAAGCAAGGATGTTGTCTTACATCACCACAGTACAATGATCAAAATCAGGATATTTAACATTGATCCAATATTACTGTCTTTTTTTTTTTTTTTTTTTTTTG